TAACGAATATTTAGCAAACATATTTAACTCCGGAAGCCCCTCATACGTAACCGGCCATGTGGGTTACAAGTCATGACCTATTTTTGCATTTAGGTACAATTTTTTTATGTACCTAATTGAATTATATAATTATATTGGGGACGATAGTTTTTGATTTTTATTCGGTGGTAGCATATTTGCTATTCGCGTTTCATAGAAAAGTACTGAAATACTGCGAAGTCGTATTGGGACAATTGTTTTGACACATTTAAAAGTCTTCTTTACAAAATAAAAATAAATTGTTTAGGCAAGAGAATATTCAATGCATTATAATGATTTTGTAAATAGGTAAAGATGTACAAAAATTGTTACGGATTTATAACCATTTCATTTTTTTAAGTAATTAGAATTGCTAATAATATGATGGCCCACCTGATGTTATGTGGTCACTAACGGTGGCCTATATACATGAACAGTACACGGACATCACATTATCAGGTGTAACCACTCATGCGTCGCCATCCCATAAGACTAAGATCTCTTATCTTAGTCCTCTGAAATACCTCTTATCTTGTAATTTCACTGTCTCATTTACCACCGAAACCGTAACATAACGCAACTTACAACCCAAACCAAACAAAGGTGAGAGTGAGGTACCTGTGCAAACGCCTATTTCAGTCTAATAAATTTGATAAATTTCATACCAATAAGAGTAACTTCCCATAAAATTAGTATGTATCACATCTGTTTTGCCCAATTCATTTAGTTTATTCTATGTAGGTGGTTACTTGCACTGTTGATAATGACGTATACCATTATTGGACGATTGCCAACGAGTCTGTTTCTACGTAACATCGTGAGAATCGTGACGTTACGCTGTATAACTTTCGTGATATATATAAACAACATCTGTATTTGTGTACAGATACTTTATAACCAAAAAATAGTGATTCTTAATGAGAACAGGTCGATAAACAACATATTTTTGTCGGTTCGAATTGAGAACGTCTCTTTTTATGATCATCTGTTCGTAGATTTGAATTGAATGGGGGAAGGAATAATTTTTTACTCCATTAATATGTTTTTATATCCATTAATCCCTCTCTTTTTATGTCACTTGAAAACTCCTTTTCTTTTGCAAGAAAAAAATCAGCACTATTTAGACTGTAAAAAATATCGTAGATTGATAATTATCATCCTGTAATTATTTGTATGTTGTACATGTTTAAAAAAACTCAAGTTAAAAGATGTAAAAAGAAATACAATTGATATAATTTTTCACATTGACATTTTTACGACATATTTGATATAGAACAGAATTTGGTCATTTATTCATCCTAAAAGTAACTTTTTAATTTTAATTTAATTTATCAGTAAACTAGTGACCTTCCCGACTTCTCATCGGTACATAACATTTTGTTTTAATTTCTCAGCCTTTTTCTTGAATGAATATCTATTGCTGAAAACTGGATTAAAATGCGCTGCATAATTTAAAAGGTCCAAGGGTATACAGGCCACAGAACTCTAGTGTTCTGTGGCACAGCCAGCGGCGGCGACTTATAGAAATAAAAACCATACATAAATAAATATAATAATTTATAACTTAATGATCTCTTAAATAGTCATACTGAATTATAATGATATGAACGTACATGGTAGAAATTATATGTCACGAGACAATTTGCATGGTTTTGTTTCGGATATGGGTTCTGATTGTGGGTGGTGTTATGCTAATTTATTTAGTCCTCTTGATGTACAAGGCGGTTTATTGTAAAAAAATTAACTGACTCACTGTAAATACGAGAATATTATGATATATGCATAATTATGTGGTTGGTTTTCTAAGAAAGGAATTGAGTCAAACGCTATGGAATGTAGTGGGAATGAAAATATTATGACGGCCTTGATATTATAAAAGTATAACTTCTGCCTCATGTATTGATAGTTGCGGGTTCGAATTCCGTACAATACAAGCATTTGCATTCATGACTATGATAGTAAAGATCAGTTCGAGTATACTATATACGTATATTAATTATTCACAATATATAATAATGTATTTAAGTATTTCTATCAGTAGTTTAGTTGCGAAGTAGCCTTTCATCAAAACAGTGGAACACACTTCCAGGTTTCGGGTATCTGCAGAAATACAACCTTAGATTGTTCAGGTCTATGGTGAATAGATATCTTCTGGGTAAGCGCACTACATCCTAGTTCTTGCCATCATTTCCCATCAGATGAGGTAAGACCAAGCTCAAACCCTTCATAATAAAAAAAATCCGAGTGGACCACCTGTCTAAAACGATCATACTCTCCTACTTTGTAAGTCGAGTAGGCAGGCCAGTGTGTGAACTGTGGGATATGGTGGTGAAACTACAGGATATGATCTTGGTACTATTCATCTATTTAGGTGAAAATAATCACTTCCATCAATCATACAAAATAAACAATAATCATAATCCTGGACTGCACAGCCTCATCTATATATGTAGAACTTCTGTTATGGGTCCCATATATTTTTTTGTAAATACATTCATACAAGTTTTTTGCTCGTTCTTTTTGTGATGAAACAGCATTCCTAATGTGCGGTACATTAAAAAAATAAAGATGACTATTCAAAAGTGTTTCAATGTAAATTTATTTGAATAAATAATTTTCTATTCTATTCTGTACATAGAGAACATCGAGATCGATACGAAGAATCATACTCATGAATACAAATTTGTACCGCGCGAGGAATTGAACCCGCGACCATCGAAAGTAAACTAGTGTGTTAAACCAGTAGACCATCGAGCCAGTCAAATATCAAGGTAATTAAAAAAATTATAAAATAGTAGACTGGCGCGCGTTGATAGTAGTCTCTGTACTTGACGTTGTACTCATTACTACAATAATTACAAAAATATACTAAAATAGTAGGTTAGGAATGTTATCACAGCAGGCACATGCGTATTGCGAAATTGGTATCGTCTTTATTTTAGCATGCGTGCGCGCACCTCCATTGGTGGCGACCGCGGATATTTCGGGCCTCACTCGACTGCGCTCGGGTTTCATACCTTTTTACAATCACTGTTCTCAAACATTTTTAGGACATCTGAATCATGTTACGATTCTGCGAAGAGATCATTCGCAGACTATATTTGACTTTATAGTTGATTTAATAAGGTTCCGGGTTGGATTCTCATTAGGGCCAATAACAAGAGTTTTTTCATTTACCTTCGCAGTAGGTATTTGATGCTCTTTTTACGACATGGTGTATAGCTAATTTACTAGTTTTGATTTATGTAATTTGAATGATAAACAAGTTGTAGTAGGTATGCGATATTTTAATTATATTGATTAATAACTACTTACGGACATATCAAGCAGCGCCATCTAGTCCCAAAGAAGAACATTTACCTACTATATGGTTCCAGTACTAGATGACTGGCAAAATATTGGTTTTCGAATACAAAAATGTATCGAAATAAGTAATGTAGACGTTTTTGCATTAAAAAATATATAGAAATAGACAAATATGTATAATTTTTTGGCCGCATTAGTGTGCTTATGGCATACCAAACCATCAATTGCATATTATAAAACTCTTATGGTATGTCAAATCTACCATCAGTTCGGAGTGCTTGCGAGATGAAAACTGACAACTAAATCTTATTCTTTTCAAATGAGGTTGTACATGTTTCAATAATACAGAATAATTTTTAAATTCATATTAGGGAGAATAGAGGGACCACCAGCATAGTCTAATCAGGAAATAAGCAAGGAAATAGTCTAATCAGTGTTCGTAACCCGAACAGACCAGTCCTCACAAGCAGCACCCGTTCACGAGTATAACTGATAAACGTATACTTTATTATGTCTCTACTACCCCTGTTAGGAAACTAGGGCCAGAGGCCGTCGATTTTAAGCGCGTAGATATGATATCTATCTCGGTAGATATCGTATCTATGCGCTTTATTTCTATTGTCGTACGTACGTAGTTACGGAACCATAGAAATAAAGCGCATAGATACGAATATGTTGTTACATCATAACCAGGTAAACACGCATCGCTATTATTTATAGTTGCAGGTCTCTTTGGGTGCGTATACTATGGAGATATACGAGCGTATGTATTTACGTCTGTTCATTTGCATATATTATGGGTAATGGACATCTCGTCATAGCTCATGACTCATCTCGAGTGTAAATATTCGTTGGCCAATGTTTTTATTCGAATCATTTTATTACTTTATATGAGATCTTAGCGTCTTCCAGTTGCGATGGATGATTGGTGAGACGACGGGTGATTTTTTTTATCTTGTTATGGATATTGCCCAAAATATTTTCATATAGGGGTCAAGTGTCAGACTATGACAAGGGAGGAGTCATAAATTTGTCACACGTCATATTTGAAATTAATTTTATTAATAAATAATTTAAATGCAAATAAAATTAAAATATTCACCTCGTCAAAAAAAGGTATCCACTTAATCCACTAAAAAGCTTGGGAAACCCAAGCTTTTTAGTGCCATATGTCATCTTAGCATTTCTAAAATTCTTATACCCCTCTATTTAAGATACATAATTTTTAACATTAAAAATAGAATTGTTCTTAAGAAATTTAAATGATAAGTTTTAGGAAGAAATCACTAGTAAATCCATATTTTAAATATTTTGCTCTATTAATTTATTATTTTTATATTAGGTTCCAATTTGATTAGCTTGAGTCTCCACGCTGTGTTATATCCAGCCGGTTTCTTTTTTTACCAATAAATCATTTACAGCTAAATCCTCATTCTACTTAATACGAAGCAAAATTATACATTATAATTATTTAAGAATTAGCTTTATTCTTTACATTTGGCACTGAAATCTAGCAATGCATTTATATGACCCGGAGGGAAAATGTTAAAATCGTATCGAGTCTATTTTCGAATTGCCCCTTAAGATTACCTCCCTGTGGGGCGTGGGCCCTAATTTGGGAAACACTCGGTTATTCACTATTTAATGGTTTGATGTTGGTTTGTTTCTTGTTTCAGAAGTGATGCGCCGCGTGGCGTGCGGCGACGTATGTCCCGCGCCGCCTGCACCGCCCGCGCCCCACACACACAACAGGTGAGTAAAATTCATTATTCATTTTTCTTTATTGTTCATATCAGTTTTTGCAAAAAGCTTTAAATAGCCCACAAAGGATTTCCACTCTAACACCCCTTTTTATCGTTTGGAAAAATCTGCAGAAGACTTGCTATATTGTGGGATTGTGGAATGGGGGTGTGGGATACGCACTAAAAACTACCTATGTTGGCACTCCCTGTATATGGTGTAGGGAAAGCCCCATTTCATTGTTAGGGCGCCCTACTCAATAGTGGAAGTGTGTGGGACGACTCTGGGGCCATTTAGTTGAGGCGCTACCTCCACTCCGTACACCATAACTAAAATCCGAAAATGCATATTTAAAAGGAATTTATTGTTGATATGTTTTTTAAATGTGGTGAACGTTTTTTTTAATATCTAATTTAAAAAAACTTTCTCCACCTAACAGGCATTTTCGAACATTAGGTAATTTTACATTTAAAATTTCAGTAATAATTACTTAAGATTAAGAGACGGTTCAACATTTTGGGAAATCATTATTATGTTTTAAAACCAATGCTGGATGGATTCTATATTTTCTTTTGCTAATGAAGACAAATGAAATACAAATTACAAAATTACAAATTATTGGAAGTATAGGAATATTATAAAAAATATAATATGATATATAAATATTCATTATTTTGTATCAAGAACGAATTCGTAATAAACTGCTATTCACAAACATATAGCTTCGAATAAAACTATACGTAATATTAGTATTTCAATATATATTGAAATGTTTCTATAGACACTAGAAATACTAGCCTCTGTTATCTGTTTCATTTGTATGACATGACGTATGACGTAATGCTCAGGTAGGACTTTGAACAACTGTATTAAACATAGAGTTATAAAATATTAATGTTCCTTTAGTTTACTTCAGTATTTAAATATGTACATAAATTGTTCTCAGGTCAGAAAACAAGGAATTACTACGGCAACAGCTTCTTTCTGCAAGTAAAGACCGTCTTGCGGACAAAGCAGAACCAACGAAGCCAAAACACGCAAGAAATAGACAAAAGAATAGATGGAAATTGAAATTCCATCATCAGGCCCTACCACAAGAGTATCTTGATCATTACGAGCAGAGTTTACAGAAGGCGAATACTAAACAAGTACAACAGAAGCCGAAACCATCAGAAAAGCCTAAAACAGAACCAAATATTGACATAAATAACATCACCAATGAAACCTTCAAGATATGGGCACAAAGGTTAGCAGGTATACAAAATGAAACAGGAACATTGACGGTTCCACAAGTATCTTCTGTATTAAATATGGCTAAGCCACCTTGCAAGTCTGATGAAAAGAAAAAGAAAAATCCGGCTATAGCGCCAAGTAAAATAGTCACTTACGAAGATTTGCCCTACATGGGAGAGATGACGTTAAACAACTCAAAGCCAAGAAGAGGCAGAAAACCAAAAAAAGCGGACATATGTCATTTAATATATGAAAATTATGGAACTGTTGTACCTGGACAACCCCCGCCTACACAAGATAGACTGAACCAATTGAGTATGTGTCCACCTTTCCGTGGTGATAATACCATGAGTACTCCCAAAACTGATTTGCAGAATAAAATCATTTCAAGTTTACTAGAGCGAAAATTATCTGCTGAGAATAAGAGAAAACTGGAAATACTTTCCCCACAGAGGTTTAACAGTCCGGATGAACCAATGCCCGAAGCACCGGTGACGATTCCAGGGCCTCTGCACAGTGACAATGAACCTCTAAACCTTTGTATTAGAGATCTACATGAATTAAAGATACAGATTCAAAAGAAATTTGGTAATATTTATACCTCGACGCCAGAAATAAAAACAGAAGTTGACACAGAAATGACTGAACAGGATAGTCCTAAAACTGAGCAACCAAATGCAATATCTGTCATTCAGAGGAACACAAATCTCTTGTCGTCCACAGCAAGTAGTTCACCGGATTTATCTCGACAGACGAGAAATATCTCACCTACTTTATCAGAGCCGGCACAGTCAACATCGTGTCCTGACGGAGACGGTAAGTTTCCTGGATACGTCTATTGGCCTAATGCTGGGATTTATATGCATCCCTTAGCTCTCCAGACACAGCTGCTGTACTACCAAAGGCTAGCAGCTGGACAATTACCATTTGAAGAACAGGACAGGGCTTTATCGACCCCTAATAGTGTTAGTGAAAGTGCATCTACTGAACTTAATTCATCGTTAGATGAAAGTAAAAATAAATTAGTGCTTAAACAAATATCTGAACTATTAGACCCCAAAGTGATAAAACAAGTCGAAGAAGCTAAACGGAGTCCGGATCAGACCAAAATGAAAAGGACATCTCCAAATCCTTTACCTGGTCCGGTAAAGAGGAAAAGGTCAGCGATATTTATACCTCCAATTCCTGCTAAAACTAACTCGACTACGCCTACAACAGAAGTGAGTATATGTAAATTTAAATTTACTGGGGGATCCAAGCCTTCTCTACAAGAAAAGAAAATGCTCTCAGTGGATTCTGGTGGCAATTTTAGGTACTACAGTGGAACTGGAAATAAGGGTAACAAGGGATATGACTATCTGCATCGGGATTCTAATCAGGGTAGGGTTTCAGAGCCTGAAGCTTCCGTGTCTTCGGTGCCTAAAAATGAAAGCCAGAGTACATCATTGAGCAAAGAGGATTTAAGTAAGAAAAAGAGGAAGTCTAGGAAAAGTTTACAGAGAGAAAAGCTGGAGCAAACATTTAAAGAAAAAGGTTTTTTAATCCAGACACAACAGTTGCAGTCAGCAGAAGGCGCGACTTATTGCAAATTTAGACAGTTAAGAAAATTTACAAGGTATCTCTTTAGAAGTTGGAAGGACTATCTCCCAGGAGAATTAGAGGAAAGACCCAAGACAGAGGCATCACCCGAGGAACAACGGCCATCATCAAACGACGGAGCTAGTGGGGAATGGGGATGATTATTTAACATAACATGTATAATAAACCAAAGACGTGACCCAATTATTACCTGGCTACTAAACTTGCTGGTGGCTGGACTATGCATTTATTTTTGTTTTGTCTTTAAAATGTTATACAATAAACATGTAAAAATTGTACATAGTCGTCACTCCGTCCACTATGTTTTGTGATTTCGCTTGGAATGAACAAGATGTTTTGTGTTATTATAATTTATTGTTTTCCATTAAAGTGGATATTAGGGTAAAGCTTTTATAAAAATTGTTTTTGATTTCATTTTATTACATCTAATAAATAGATAAAAAATATTTAGATTTATGTTTAATATATTAAACAATTACCTATAAATGGATGTTGGATTGACTTTAATACCTAGACTAATTTATAGTGTAATGATTTAATATTGTTCGTTTTTCTGAAGTCACAAAATTTAGGAATATTTTTAATAAAATATAGTATTGCAATAATACTAACAAAACTAGTCACTTGACACCTCTAACATAACACTATGTCTTTAGTAAATATATTATGTACATATTGTACAAAGCCTGACAAAGTATTAAATTGTAAAAATTGTTATAAGAAAACATAGTCCCAACAATGTTGTCTATTACAAAAGTATTGTCAGGCAAATCTACGCTTTAAGCACTTAACGCATGTTCCCTCAAATAGTGTCGCACTATAAAAAACAATTTTTCATAAATAGACGTTCCATATTTATTCCATTTTATTTAGTATTTGGCTCTTAGAACAAAATAATTTAAAGTATAAATTCTAATTATTTCGCAGTAGTAACAAAATAAATATGATTTAATTCTTTTTTACTTGTAATACTATTTCAGAGGACGTGCGTGAATCATAAAACGGAAAGAGGCTTTCTAGTCACTATTGATTAAGTTTTACGTTGTTGTTATTAATAATATGTACAAATAATATTTAATACTTTAATTTTATAATTAAAAGTGCAATTTTTATACTCAAACCGTTTATTACAGAAAATTATTCTGTCATAAGAAAATAATATATGTGAAAAATGCAAACAACAGGAATGTAAAATGTCCCAATTAAACTTTAACCGAATCATAAAGTGTGTATTATTTATAAGCAATGAGAGGAAGCATATTAAAGATTACATCTTTACTTAATATTATAAATGCGAAAGCAACTGTCTGTCTGTCGCGTTTTACCTCAAAACTACTGAGCCGATTTAAATGAAGTTAAATGAAGTTGGTACACAGATAGTCTAGACATAGGCTTTTTTAATGCGATAAACGGGTTGTAAGAGGTTGGATGGAGAGATGAAAGATTGTATAGAAGTATCATCATTTTTAAAGCTAGGAACATGAAACTTATTTTTCAGTACTGTTGGTTAAATATAAATAAATATAATCTACAAAGTTTGTAAATATTTTACAGTTGAGGGGTTAAAATAAATTAGGGGATGAAAGTTTGTAAGAAAATTCATATTTTTTGAAGCTAGAATTGGAAACGTATTCTTTGGCAATTATTATTTAAAAAAAAAAATGCTATCCTAGGTCCACTATTCCACGCGGACGAAGTCGCGAGCACAGCTAGTATCTATATAATTATGAAAACTACTGCACAAAAATTCGAAATGCGTAGTCACAAATACAATAACAATCATGTTTTATGTCATATTTGGACGTATGTTATAGTAAATACCTAGAAAGTATTACGACACATCCTCGATGGCGATCAGATCGAACCACCAAGCAAGACGCAAGAAGGTTTCTTGCGAGAGCTTTCTTACCGAGAAAGACGCCTGGGTCGAGTCAACATTTTAATTCCCGCAGCAAAAGTTTCCCATACCCATTTCCTTCGTTTTTGATTTTATATAACTTCACTTACGGATAACACATCAATCCGTAGTGACCTCTAGGTATTATTGTAATAATTAATTATAGAATTAAATTTAGTTTTACTTATTAAATTGTTTTTTTTGGGTCTTCCGCCAGCGACTTCACTCAACTCGTAGTTGTAATAATATTCTGGTCCCACAACAAATGCAGTAGTTACAAATATACCCCCATGATTAAAGAATAAACATTCATTCACAAAAACAAAAATCTGCAAAAAGTTAATTAGTGTTTGTTACATATTTTCAAAGTATGAAAGTTGCAAAACAAGGATAAAGGGACACAACCTGAAATGACGTTTAATATTACGATAATAATGTTTATATTGGCAAACAAGCATACGGCCCATCTGGTGGTAAATGGTTACCGTAGCCCATGGACGCCTGAGACACCAGAGTTCATTATACGTCTCGTTCATATTAATGAAGGCATATACGATAACAAGTTTATCGACATAGACAATTCATATTTAGGATCTAGTTTTTATACGGTAGTAGTTAGTACATTAAAAGAATTATATTGATAAGTTTGATCTGCCTGTTTGTTTTTGCTAATCTCTGCAACGGCTATATCAATTCTAACGGGACTTATACTCGCAGATAGATAATGTTATTAGGAGTAACTCAGACTACCCTTACTTTAGAAATTTTATTTATTTCAACTAAAAAACGTTTAATTTCATGCGCATTAAACCGCGCTTAACAGTTGGTCATCAGTAGAGATTAGGTTACTAATTAATTTTTTTTTCTTATGGATGATAATGGAATGGTGCACCAGCCTGCGCTAACGGTTTACGCTAGTGGGGCACCAATGGATGATGATAAGATGAGCATGAATTCAGGCCAGTTAGCCCACCACCTGTAAATTCACCATGAATTTACCTCGTGGAAGTCAACCTGACATTGCTAAGAATGGGATTATTAGTCCACATTTCTAAAAAAAAATTCCCCCTCCACAAAATAATAAACATAAATATGACAAAGAAATTAGTGTCTCTTTTTTATTCTACGAATTGTTTCTTTTGCCGTATAAAAATAAATATAGAATGTATTGAATGACTACAATCACTCGGCCGACAGCGGCCGCATGATTTCGAACACACAATATGTTTTAGGCACCTGTATAATTGAAATACACACTGGTGTATTATAACAAGAGAGTATAGGGTGCCAAATGGGAGTTTTTGTTCGAATTGACAGGATTCGAAGTCAGAAACTTCAACACTATGTTGCGATTACATATCCAATTGGACCAGCGCGTATTGATTCCATATTGTCAAATTTAGAACAGCTTTCTGGGTTAAAAGGCCGCAGGTGCCATCTAGAGTATTATAACAGAACTACTTGAATGAATGAATAGGTACATTATAATTCTATAGATGGCAGTATTTTTAGCACAAGGATGGCCGACTTTCAATAGTCACGAGTTCGATTCCTCACACGGTACAAACATTTCTGTCTATAAGTATAATTGGTCTGGGTGTTTTCATTGTAAAATATGTATGTATTTCTAGTAGCCAATCCGAGCTAAACAAAGCTTATCTTATACAAACTTCGTTTATCTCGGTACTAGATAGAGCTGTGTGAATAGTCCTGAGATATTGTTATTTTAAGAAATCGAACGAACAATGGATCTATTAAAGTACACATGTATATTTTAGATATGCCTGTGATTTTAGGAAAGTATGAAAAATAATTTTCAGTCTGTATTTGTAGACAGTAGGGTTTTTTAATGGATGATAATGGTGTGAACTGTCGCACCACCCGTCTGCACTGACGGTTTACGTGGGCGGGGCACCAATGGAGGATGATCTGATGATTGATGATGACCATCGTGACAAATTCACCGGAATTTATCATGATGGTTCCCAGAGCGAACCGCGTGGATGTCAACCTGACAGGGTACATTGCTTTCATTGGGGTCAACAGTCCACATTACTAACAACCCTCTTCCACCAGCCAGTTTGCCAGTTTAGTTACGTTACTTTCAATGTTTTGAGGATGACTGCATAACAAATTAAATTTTAAAATTTATAATAAGTAGTAGTTTCTTTAATTAATAAATTTTAATGTAATTGTAAAGTACTTAGTATATATATTACTCAGTACCCATAACACAAGCTATGTTTACCGTGGAACTAGATGGCGCTGTATTAATTGTCCAGGGTTACTTATTTATATTAACGGAATAGGGTTTCACTTAATCCTTGTAAAAACATTGATTAAGATTTACGTTGTTGTTATTAATAATATACACAATCATTATTTAATTACATATATAAATGAAAATGCAATTTTTATACTCAAAAAGTTTATTACAGAAAATCATTCTGTCAATAGAAAATAATATGTGAAAAATGCAAACAATAGGAATGTAAAATGTAACAATTAAATTTTAACTGAATCATAAAGTGTGTATTATTTATAAACAATGAGAGGAAGCATCTTAAAGCTTACATATCTATATAATTTTGCAAACTACTGCACAAAAATTTTGAATACTTAGTCACATAGACAATAACAATCATGTTGTATGTTATATTTTGACGTAATATTCTGGTCCCACAACAAATGCAGTAGTTACAAATATATCAATTATTACAAAAAGCGAAAATTTTATGGTTAATACATAATATGCTTACATACTAAACATTATAGAAAATTTTCATATACCGTCAACAGTCTGAATTTCTTCCTTGTGCGTTCACTTCAAAAAGGCACTTGCAATTATTGAATTGTTTGTATTGTGCAGATAAAAGCTACAAACTGGCTTTCTACATAAGGAATAAACCTTTATTCATAACAACAAAAATCTACATAAACATTTTAATTAGTGTTTTGTCGCAGACTTTCTATTAGGTAGGAAAAAAGGACAAAACAATTTAAAATCACAAATGAGTTTATTCGACATATCGCTTATATGAATAAAGGCATATATGATAATAACTTTATCGACACATACAAAACTGAAGCTTAGGAACTACTTTTTAGTAACAAATAAATTTCTATATATACCAAATTATCATAGAGATTAACAACATAGATCTATGGTTGGAATTTATAATTCCGATCAATCCGATCAACTGCTTTTTGTTCTTGTAAAACTTGTAACTTTTTTAATAGCTTAAAAATGAGTGTTTTACAACAGAAACAAGCATATTACAAAATAACAGTAAAAAAGTATATTGATCAATTTTGAAAAGATACAAAGTGACTTCAGGCACATTTTTTAAATTGCTGAATATCTCATTCTTTTTTAAAGCTATTTTTAATTACATACTATATCAACAGGTGCAATCTAAAAATTATAATTTCTAATTCAATATATAAATTTATAGTTTTAACAGGCCCGCAAATGGTTTACAAATGTGTGTTTTACTTTTAGCTGTTTAACAAATTTGACTATATATCAGTAAAATTATATATAACCATAACGTATATAAATATATATTTAACATAACATTTTGCATTTGATACCTTTACCTTGCACCTTGTATAAATTCTTTCGTTATGCAAACATCGAGATATGATCCCCTACATGATATAGTGATACAAAAATATTTATATAGAAGCATAATAAGGAGACCTCTTAAGCCTTGAGCACAGCCTTGGCAGCTGCAACAATGTGCGGTGCCGAGATGCCGTACTTATCGAGAAGCACCGCGGGCGGACCTGAACGTGGGACTTCGCGGACGTACACGTGCTTCACGGCGATATCGCGTTCGAGGGCGACCGCAGAGATGACAGCCTCGCCGACGCCGCCTGTATTTATCGAGTGGTATAAATAGATGTAATAAAATTATTTTATAGTTACATTATTTCGAAACCATCGTGATGAATTCTTGGTGTATTTCCTACGATGGGCTAACTGAGCTGAGCACATACATGCTCATCTATCATCCATATATATGTATAAATATCTCCACTGTTGCCCCGCCAGCGTAAACCGTTAGCGCAGACTGGTGCACCATTCCATTATCATCTATGGAAAACGTCGTAGTCACAGAACAAAAATAAAAAATCTGTGGTCTTAGAATAAAAAAAAGTATGGAATTTGATCGCGACGAAGTCTACAGTCAACAATATTTCTGACCACCCCATCTGGGGAATACTGTGAAGGTATAGTAATACTGGAGTTATGTTTTACCAGCTTGGTAGTGATCTTCTACGACGACTACATTCCCACCGACAGCGCGCGCGTTCTTCACTATCGCTTCTTCATCTAGAGGCTTGATGGTGAATGGATCCAATACACGAGCCTCTATGCCTGCAATTTGTTTTTTAATTAGCAGCTAGATTAGGTAATAAACCATCTATTTGATAATGTTCATATAAATTCCTATCGTATATGTATAGTTGAATAACAAACGTACAAATTTAGCATCTTTAATTTCAGAAGACATCAAATATATATGTATATATAATATAAGGGACGAGTCGTGGGCATGTTCCTAAAAATAAATTTGAATATAAATTTATATACAGTATAAGTATAAATGTTTGTATTCATCTGGGTATTTTTATATAGGTATATTATTAGGTAATAATAATAAAACCATTCTGAAATTACAATTATTTTTAACTAAATTATATATTTTAACAATGATGATAATTTTAGTGTGCCTTTTGGCATAGGCCTCTTCCAGAAACTTATATTGGCTCGTTTCGTTGTGTCGTGTCGTTCTACACTATATATCAACATTAAAAAAAAAGCATTTATTGTAATTAATTACCATTGGATTCTACATTAAATATTAATACTTAAAAAAACCTTAAATTAAATATTTGTATAACTTATTCAGGACAAGCATTTGTTGTTACTAAATATTGAAAATTGTTTTGGAAAATTGGCAAAAAATATAGAAGTTAATACCTTCTTGCTTAAGCTTATCAGCGGCAGCAAGTGCCTCATGTAGTGTGACACCGGCGCCCACTAACAGCACACGGTCCTTCGGAGACTCGCGAACGACTTTAGCTTGGCCAACCTGTCGGAAGACACATTTTATATCACAAGCCACAATATTTATTTATATTAGAGTAGTATTTTTTTATTGAGTGTGTTGGGCTGTTTTTCCTAACAATTATAAAATATATTTCTATTTTTCCCAATTATTCAATAACAATAGTGAAAATATAAGGTGTGACGGCAGTTTGTGCATTGCTTAGTAGACAATTTATTTTTTTAACTTATTATCTAATGATAACACAAAGAAGAAACACATAGATTATGAACTTTTACTTTTACGTATACTTAGCTACTTTTCACTTCAGATGTGAAACCGTATACACACACTATATGGCTAGCAAAACTGGCTTATACACACAATATCTTGAGTCTATATTAAATTAATTAGAAAAATATTAAAGACAATAAGTAGATAGTACCGGTCAAATCAGAACTTATATCTTATACTCAAAAATAAACATGATTATATCAAACCTCTAGAACACACATTATTTGCAAGTATCTAAGTAATTGTGTCTCATATTAATCATATAATTATATATAATATGATTAATATTATATGTTATGTATTATTAATTAATATTATATATAAGGTTTAGTAGTTTTTTAATCTGACCAAAAATCACAAATTTTAGGTTATCAAATTTGATTGAAATACAAAAACTCTGTTTAAATTTTATATTTTCTATTGCGTCATTGGTTATGGAAATATATGACAATGTCTATGAGTACATTCATCTGGAATATAAGTCGTGAAGGTTTACAAGTTTACTTACTTTGAACACTTCATCGTTGGGGTATAGTATGGCTGTATTAGGTCGCGAGGTACGAATGTAGCAGATGCCCTTAGTGTTGGCAGCTAGTTCAACTGCACGCTCCGTCGATACTGCGTCTCTGATAGGAAAAATTATATTTATTTTTTTATATGAAGTTTGAGTGAATAGACGTATTTAGACCAGATATGAGCATACGTCACTTATTATTAAGTAATATATATGCCGTAATAAAATAGTACAATTATTAATTTCATGAATTCTTTTAATGTATAATGATTGCCAATTTGTTCCACAATATTTTACATTTATTTAGATAATAAAAAGTGAATAATTCAGTAATTTCATTAAAAGAGTGTATTAATTATAGTATTATTTAGACTAATTGAATATATTTACACTTTTTAGTAATAGATTCATTGGCGAAAATTTCGACTCGAATACGAGTCTATTATATTTTTGAACAATTCTAATGCTTTTGCTGCAGCCTTAGTACATTATCAGACCATTTGGCAGCTTATGGGTTTACTTAACCATGTCTGAAATAGGAGTATGCAGGACTTACGAGGGGTAGAACACAGTGGCGGTGGGCACAGAACGGAACAGCGCCAAGTCCTCGAGTCCCATCTGTGAGGGTCCATCCTCTCCGATGCTGACCCCGCAGTGGGAGCCAGCCAGGTTGATGTTCGACTGGCTTATAGCGCCCATACGGATCTGTAGTAAAAATATTTTACTTTACTAATCAAATCAATAATAATTAATACATGAAGGGCATTGTTATATTGTATTTTTTACATTGCACTGAATAAATTTTTTTCTTTCTTTCTTTCTTCTTCTTTTAGATGCTTACCGCTGACCTACCGTCCAGTTCAGTATACAGATTCAATTGAGGAGAACTGGCAAGAAACTCAACTGAATTTCTTTTTTTTTAGACCTAAGCTAAGCAGAGCTTGTTATAGGTACACATATACAAATGATGCAAAAACTTAAATATATATTTATTTGTAAATACATACATGATATACATAGAAAACACTCAAATTGATACAGATTAACCAATAGTGACAATAACTCTGAACACTTCACACATTGCCATAATGTTAATATTTAAATCTTTAAAAGACCCCAACTTACCTGATCGAAAGTTCTGGTGAAGAAAGCTGCGAAAGTCGAGGCAAAGGCCACGGCGCGATCCCTGCAGGCGACGCCTGTAGCTACACCCACCAGGTTTTGTTCAGCGATGAAGCATTCAATGTACCTGTGGCAAAAGTCCAAATATTCTTTTCAATGTTTTTATGTTATAGATTTTAAATTAAAAGTTATTAATTAACATTGAAATAAAAAGTTATTTTACATTATCAAATATTTTATATTTTAGTCTTATAAATTTATGTATGAAACATTATCATTCAGTGATAATTGTGAAACGCACATGTAAATCATATAAACCATAAATAAGAACACATATATTTTTTTACCATAATTCCCATGAAAAATAACATGTACTACTACTAACCTCTCGGGGTAGGCATTGCGCAGTTTGTCACTGAATGTGGAGTTCTTTGTATCACCGTCCAATGCGATCACACTGCAGAAAAAAACATAAGATAAAATATATACATAGAACATACTAGAGAATAATTTATATCTCTATGAACATAAATTCTATAAAAGCAAGCAGTCCAGATGTCTCAGAGAGTAGTTTTTGTTTTTTTCTAGCATAAGGTCATAGCACAATCATATTAATACCAACAAATAAACGAATAGATTTTTTTTTATTTATTGGGAGGTTTTAGGCTATTGTGAGGTGCTAAGACCTGTAACACTGACTTGCATAGATCAATGTGCTGACCCTTTTTCAAAGTTCGCTAATAAGGGTATGGGTCTAGGTACATAAACAAGAATTGAGGGATATTCTTAGGAGCGACGGTTTTATCTCCTTAGGATACAGTGTACTATACTTTCCAAAGGACATTTTTCATTAATGCATGAGCGGGCTACCACCACATAAGATGGTTTCCATACAAACCTAACAATATGATAGAACGATATAAGAAACTTGGATGATTTGATCATTCTCATGCGTGTGGTAGAAATTTATTATTTTCTATAAAAATTGTTTACTTTTCGACTAGTTATTTTTTCGAACTGCGCGAAACGCTTTTCTGGTGTTTACAGCTAGCCGAACGATAGGGGGCGAGTGCAGATGGCACTCCAAACCTGCGGAAGAATTTACGGAAGGGCTGAAGGCCTAATCCTGCATGACGGATACGACTGTATTCTGAGGACAACGCTAGGGGGTTCGAATCTCGTCTCACGCCGTCGTAATATTGATTCCCGTTTGAATTGGACGGAGGATCAATCGATCGATGGGGCTAATCGAGGAGGTCCTTTGGTGATTATAAGACTAGCCGTATGCTACTTTTTCACTGTATTTACAAAAAAAAGCACTGGCTGAAAACGAATTGACTATATTTTCTACACAATATATTTATTTTTGCTGTATAAAATAAAATTATGTGTATGAATGTTACTGCCCACATCGGCCGAAGGCGGTCGCGTGAGTACGACAAACACATTATTCTAGCACTTGTATGATTGAAATACACATTGGTGCATCACATAAATAGATTACAAGTGCCAAATCGGGGATTGTAAAAATCGACGGGATTCGAACGCGGACCTTTCAGTTACAAAGGACGACAACGGTTGACTACACCACGGGAAGAATATTATCAGTTGGCAAATTTCCGAACACTTTTTGTGTTACGACGACGCAGGCTCCATCTAGTGAGTTATATATAACTACTTGGATGAATGGACAGTTAGTTACATTAGAATTCGATAGATGGCGCTTTTTATTGATCAATGGATCTATTAAAGTACACATCCTTTTTAGGAAACCATGCTAAACTATTTTCGGTAGCCAGTAGTTACATTCAGTATTTTATGCACGACTAGCAACCCGCCCCGGTTACGCACGGGCCAAATATTTGTTTAAATTTTAACATATTGCTGCTCCGTTTCTATTTGTTATAGAGTGATGTTATACAGCACTCTGGGATAAAATACCTTTCTAACAGTGAAAGAATTGTTTTTTATAATAATACATTATTGTGACAGATCTATACTCTATGGGTCATTTTTGATGCAATTATCTTCTTGAGGTGGAACTTCATGTACATATCTTATTAATATTAGTATTCTTTCAATAATGCCACACCAAAAATACTTGTATAATTCTTGGTGTGTAAAAAGATAGCCATAGATTACAACTTAGGTTGAGTCAAAGCGGAATTCACTAAATCCTTGAAGAAATTGCTCATAATCACTAGCATTCCATACACTTAGATTGTGGAATGAACTACCCGCCGAAGTTTTCTCGAGAGACTACAGCATGGGGTTTTTCAAGAAGGGTATATTAAGGTTTCTTAAGGGTCGGCAACGAGCATGTGACACCCCTGGTGTTTCAGGCATCCATAGGCTACGGTAACCGTTTACTATCTGATGGGCCGTATGCTTGTTTGCCACCTATGTGGTATAAAAAAAAACAACTTTTTTTTATTAAAGACGAGAGTAATATAGATAAACATTACAATTACTTACCGCAAATTGGTGTCTGCAATCTTCTTAAGCGCAGTACCGTAAGCCAATCGTGTAGCGACTTGGTCTCCAGGCTTGTACGAAGGTGGCGATGAGAGGGTGATGTCACCGATGTGGACTTTAGGGGCCTCGGCAGTCGGTGGCTTGGGTTTTAGTGTTACTGTGTTGTTCTTGATTAGAGACTGAAGGTGCTGTGAACACAGTATTAATCAGTGTATTATTAATCAATGCATAATAATCTTAATAATAATATGTGTGAAGTGTAATCTTTAAAATGATTAATAAATAATAATAATAAAATATAATTAATAAATAATTATAAAATAAAGTCCTTACTGCTGTCTGTTCCCTTGGATCCTTTAAACTACGCGACGGATTATAATACAGTTTTTAGTAGTAGATATAGTGTTTTAAGAAGAGGGTTTATAACACACCCGTGTGATGCATGGGCAGGTAGCTAATTTGTAATATATGTGGATTGAACCTGCTACCATTGGAAGATGTAATATTGAATTAAACCGCTACAGACATATTTAATTTACAGCAGATAATATAACAGCGCAGGACCGATCGTCGTGGAGATCTTTGGGGGAGGCCTATGTCCAGCAGTGGACGTCTTCCGGGCTGCGATGATGATGATGATGATGAATATAACAGAATTTGAGAAAGAATGTTTAAAAAAAGAAATAGAAAATTATGACAAACCTTAATAATCTTCTCTCCCTCAGCACCTAAAGCCTTTCCGTGCCAATTCTCCAGATCCTCAATGCCAGGGAAGCCACGTCCTTTGAAGGTCTTCGCCACGATTGCTGTGGGCTTCCCACTAGTATTGGCTGCTTCATCAAATGCTTTAACCAATTCGCTGACGTCATGACCGTCGACCACGAGCGAGTGAAGACCGAATGACTTAAGACGAGCATCATATACATTCAACTGAAAAGGATTAAGTAGGAATTAGTCAATAAATCTGTTTATTTTGTACATTTAGTCTCAAACTAAGAAATACATTTACATTGATTGGGCTACTGACTGTCTTACTAGTTTTCAAGTGAAAGTAAAAAAGTATGTGTTTATTAATTCGGTTGTTAATGTTGATGACTGTCACTTATAATCCGATTTGAAAGATTTATTTTATTTTGTTTGAAAGGGTATATACAGGTATATAGGTTACCTGATGCTGCAAAGAGGTGGGCTCGGACTGCCCAAGACGATTGACATCAAAGATGACCACGAGGTTGTCTAGTTTGTAATGACTGGCAAAATGCAGGGACTCCCATACACTGCCCTCAGCTGCCTCTCCATCTCCCACCAAGCAGTATACTCTGTAGGGAGAATATGATATCAGAGTGGGGGATGGGGACGGTTAGTAATGTGTATTAATAATCGCTGGTAATGGAAAAATGTTTGGTTTTGATATGGTAAAAATAGTACTTTATAATTTTCATGTATTTTTAGCGTCTAACACACACGTCATGTTATCTTTGCCAAAACAGAACCAATGTTGAAATCGTTTGTGTAATCACTAAAGTTTACTTGTTATTTTGGTTCCTACTCCATTTGCTAAGAACCAGTGTTGGAGATCTCTTTAGTCTAAACTCTACTCAATTAGTTACAATTAAAGTAGTATTTTTAATACAATAAGGAATAATTTACATACCTGTAAGGTGCTTGGTCAAAGTATTTGCCAACGTACGCCATACCGGCGGCAACAGCCAGACCTTGACCCAAAGAGCCAGTGCCTACGTCCACGAAGTTTAGTCTGGGAGTAGGATGACCTTCGAGGTCTGAGTCAAGTTTGCGTAAGTTCTTTAACTCCTCGACTGGGAACAGGCCTGCTTCTGCCCATGCCGCGTAGAGTATGGGGGCAGCGTGACCCTAGTATATAAATTTTAATAAGTATTTGGAACTGCAAATATGCTGACCCTTACCTAATGGACTTTCCATTTGGTAAGGGTCAGTATTAAGTAGTATTCAGTAATAATTGGCAACTATGTACATTAACATTATCACAAACATTATATTTTCACATGTATGTGGTTATACATAAGATATCATTTTCCTGAAGACTTTAGTCTTCAGAAAAGCATTGTCTTATGTATTACCACATGCATGAGAAAATGCTACAATTCCAAGCAAATTTAAATCTAATTCTCATCTTTTAAAACATAACATAGATTAAAAAACAAGCAGCCTACTGGCAATAATGATTAAGACAGAAAACCTATATACAACTTGAGATAATTTTTGTAAATCATATAATATGACATGACTATACCTAGACCATAGAAATAAATTCAAAGATTCCAGTTCTCCATTTGTTGTACAAATGAAGAAATCATCATAGTCATTTTGTAATTTTTTTTTATTATTATTATACATACCTTGGAGAGTACAAATCTGTCTGCCGACGCGTCTTTGGGGGCGGAGATCTTGTATTTCATCGTGTTGAAGAACAACACAGACATGATCTCTGCCATGGAAGCACATGATGTCGGGTGACTGAAAAGAATACGACGAATACGAGTTGACAACATATGATATTTATTATATTTACAAATAACAAAATAGATCGATGAGGCGAAAACTGTCCGTGTATCTGTTTATGTACTTTTTTTGTAATCGATGATAATAATAGAACGGTGAACCCGCCTGCACTACACTAGCACGGCACCAGTGCAGGTAGATAAGTATCAGATCAGGTCAGTAGTATATAGTATCCCATCATATAAAATCACTAGGAATTTAACATGATGGTTTCCAGGGGAAACTGTGGAGCTAGCAATAGTTATTAATCCACATTACTAAAAATTCACTCCACTCTGTGTTTAAAAATGAGTGGATGAATTGTGATGGCCAATTTTCACAGAATATCTCAAATATGGGGGGTATTTTTAAGATATTCATATTAATAAAAGTAAATTAGTATTTTTCTTTAATTTTTTTTGTTTACGTCAATTGCTATTATTAAATAATCTGTGAACAAATACATATTTAATTAAAAACATGCATATCTTGGGGGTCGACATTTTTAAGTCTATAATGATGTGACCTCCGTGATAATAATATAAATTTAACACGTCTAGAGCTTTCTTTTGATATGAAAAACATTTAGTAGTTAGTAATAAATAAACGTTAAAACTAGATGCAAAATACGCAGTATTGTAATGGTCATTTTTTTAATTAAATGAAAATGAAGTGGTGTTCCCGCCATCGTTAACAGTATATGCTGGTAGAGCACCAATGGAGGAAGATATAGTTATTTATCTTGATGAATTAACCATGATGGTATAAACTTGGGATGGGGTGGAGGTCATCTCGATAGATTGCTAGCAATGGGGCCACTAGTTGCTACTAATACTAGGCGACATTGCCCACCCTTAGACCACTGACAGACATACTTAAATATGTACTGTGTTGATACACATACATGTTAACCAGAAGAACACGAGGTCAAGACAAACAAATATATTTAACCATACAATTTTTGTATATGATATCATTGTATTGAATCGAAGCTGCGACCATTAGAAATTAAGGTGGTGTACTAAACCACTAGACCGTGGTCGTGGCTTATCAGATACAAAATATCAAACATCGAACAATTAGTAATACTTCGTATTCACGAACAATTAATTTGAAGCCTTTTATAGTGTTATATAAGGTTCATTTCAGAGAAACAATAGTTTATTTACATGTCATTCATTGCTAATAAATTGTATACGACAATTTGTAACATTTTAGATGGAATTAATCCTACCCAAAAAGATTTTTAAGCATGTCGCTATGCGTTTAAAGGAGATATAGTAGGTACAACATAATGATGCAGTTGTTCGAGAATCTCCTTTTAAAAGTCGGTTGAAAATATCATTATCTTGTTTATACAATTTAAATTAGTAGATACTTTACTAAGAGATAGTATAAATTTATCTGAATATGTCGTAATGTTAAATAACTCTATTATAATAATTAGTTGAATTATTTTTAAATCTAAATAAAGTGTAACGATGTCGATATTCATTTCTATGTGATTGATAGTCTCGACTGATTGTCATGAAGGTTAAATACAAAGACAAATAAAGGTCAAGCGTAAATCAATGAGTACGAATAGAACATAGAAATAATATTGTCCTCAGATCATTTTATTAAAAGCCAACCATCGACTACTGTGCGTGTTGATGTTGTAGTACAGTGATGACCGTTTTTAATGTAAATTACGTTGTCTAGTGTACTCTATAAGAATTTCATTATCAGTACTGTATTTACAGTCGTATTTAGTGAATTTCTCGTAAACCAAAATCATTCTAAATATTATTAATAATGAATAAATACTAAATGTGGTAGTTAGAGCCACTGTCAACGTCATGGTGAACGCAAACACTTGATATTCCTACATTTTGCGGGGTGTAATTGATCTGATTCAAATATATCCCACAAAATGTAGGCGTATTGAGGGCAGGCAAGGCGCGATCCTACCGCCGTCTATTCTATCGGTTTAGTAAATACTAAACTTTCTGGCTATCCAGTTTTTCCAACGCTGGATAGCCAGTCAGAAATATATACATAGATTACGTTAAAAATTAAGTTTATGTTGTATGTCACACTTTAATTCACGACCTTTTTGGGTCGAAGTCGTCTTATATTAATAAATACTTTAGCAGATTCAATTGCTAAAGCGAAACTTTAGAATAATCTATTTATTATTATTATAGAAATTAAATTCTACATTTCAGTGACTTAATGTTCGTAAATTCTAAGTAATGGGGCCTAGAGGCCCCACGATTGCCAGAAATTTACAATGTCATGTTGACCTCCAAGTAGTTCTCCCTGGAAGAAATTGAGGTTGATTCCTGATGATTTCTAACTATTAAATAGCTGAATATATATATACAATAAATAACAGTTAGCCCAACTGACCTAGCTGACATGACATAATAAATACAAGCCAGCAAAAAACTATATGACTATCAAATCAGTCAGTTGCCAGTCTATTAGTTATCATAAGCATATATAGAAAAAGGAATTTGTTTGAATATTCAATATTCATGGACGCAATATATTTTATTTATTAATGTTTATCAGCACAATTTCTCATTCGTAATCTACATCTATATTGACAGGTATATAATACTTAAATGATAATAATTACTAGGCAGATCTTTACTGCATACACTATTTATTTAGAGTAGGTATTTCACTTAAGGAATTGTTAATTATTTTTTCATATTGATATTTTATTATAAAAACATTTGATTTATACTATTAGCTATACAATTCATTATATGTATGTGCATTTATAAGGTAGACAGAACAAAATAATGCTTATTATTTTGTTTTGGGGCAAGACTATAAATAATGAGGATCTTTAGCTGTGAGATTGACATACATGAGGTCCCCTCTAATTACGATTACGGTTAATTCCTAGTAAATTCAATATTAAGGGCTAATTTATATGACTTCTCGTTCACCCTAATATGTTCCACTAGTGCCCCGGCAACATGTACAGTTAGCGCAGGATCCAGCATTCCATTATCATCCATAAAAAATGCATAATAATGAATTCTGCTAAAGGTTTTTTTAAAATTCACACAGAATTATTACACTATTGAATTCCATACAAAATGACCATAGCCCGGTATTTTTTAAGTTAGTTAAGTTTACATTTTTTTTACTTTTTAAACCTCGAATGAAGGTAATAGGGGAATTTGACTTTAACATAAACCAGACTACAGCATGAAATTATAACAAAAAAAAAGTATAAAATAAGGTTCCTAAATGGTTTTAATTAAATTTTACTTGTAAAGTCAGTATTCTAAATACAAGAATAATTTATAGCACTTTTTATTGTCCTTATGTTCCCACCAACATTACGACAATACAGAGTGCATTTTTTTTTTATACCAACTTTTTGCAAATAAATTTTTCGATAAAAAAAAGTATTAATTACCATTGTATACACTATCGTATATAGTTCCGATTTAAATCTAGTACATTAGAAGTTGGTAAGTACAAGTACTAGCTAAATATGTTTACCTTGACATTTCAAATCACGTGGATATAACAACTAACCTAAATGGATTATTGGAATACATTCAAATCGATAGGTATTATATTACTAGATACTACGAATAATATATCGACATTCAATAAAAAAAAAGAATAAATTACGGAATATTAATAATGCATAATTCATTGCGTATACGGTTATATCTCTCATGCATATGTGCATTATTATAATCATATATTATTATTTTTTATTGAACAACATATTATTTATAGTTAGCTAAACAATATTTCATTACACATAGTCAAATAAATACAGTTAATGTAGTCGAATTACAGTCTGTATGTGTAATAAAACAGAATAACCTTCGTAAGTCCTTCACTGAAAGGACCGGCAAAACGATTAATTTAAGGTTAGAATAAACATACCCGGATTTTGAGGCATTTGTGGCAACGATGCTATCAATTCTCAGCTTGTTAGCGATGTCTTGAAGTGCTTGAATATCTACGTTTTTGTCGCCTTTCATTTTAGGAGATATGTTGTGGAATATTTCTAAATGTGAATTAAAAACAAGTTCAATACCGGTAAACTAAATAGGTAGCCAAGCAAAACGTGACTGATTTGTGATTCTTAAAGCGAGTGAAAACAAGAATAGGTGAACTGACTGCGAATGAAGCTAAACTGACATTAAAGCGAAAGTTAGATGTGCATATGATTGAATAAAGAACTATAAAAGTATATTTAAGAATATAAAATCAATATTTGGAGATATATTGTATGTGAAGACGATATATTGAAAGAAATATAATATCAGAATACTATCGAAGATAATAGCTGTATGGGTTGAGTTCTTTTGCTTTACTCAGTGACGGTACAAAAAAAATAGAATACGATAAAACTGCATCTAAGCACTATTTTGTGTAGATGGCGCTGTAAGTGAAAATTACTATTATTTTTAAATTCATTACTTAAAGTTTTGAACTTAGAATTTACGTATTGAATTTGTAAAATCATTTTAAAATGGACTTAATACAAAAACATGAAAAATCCAATAATCTTTTTGTTTTTAGTTATTGACAAACTTTCAGTTTGGTGTTATGTTAAAGTCACAGCGTTAATATTAGTACCGAGGTAGACTGCAAAAACCAGCAAAGTATTTCCCTTTATAAGATGTGTTTCCGTTGAAGGTAAGGTATAGGGATAACTTAATGAAATTACAGTTTATATAACAGGCATGATAATATGTTAGTCTTCTGGAAATTCAACAATTGAGTTTATGACGGGCATAAACTCAATTGTTGAATTATCAAGGGGAAGGGGAAGGGGATTGTTGCTAATGTGGACTCATGACCCCATTACTAGCAATGTACCATGTCAAGATGACCTCCACGCGGTTCCCCCTGGATACCATCGTGATTAATTTCTGGTAAATATGTCATGATGGGCTAACTGACCTGACCCCATGTTCATCTGATCATCCTCCACTGGTGCCCCGCCAGCGTAAACTGTTATCATGGTAACGTGATTTCCATAGTGCTGTTCATGTATGTAGTCAAAGGATACCGTGAGCCGTCAGTTTGTTTCCATTCCAATAACGCAAAAAAATAATGAAAATGTTTAAATTGACAAAAAGAACATGTCAAGTTTATCAATATATAGAGGCTTAACACCTTACTTTCGATGGTAGCGGGTTTGATTCCTCGCACGGCACAATTATTTGTATTGGTGAGTATGATTGTTTCTATCGATCTGGGTCTATGTATATATTTAAAAAAAAAATTGTACCTTTTTATATCAGTTTTCTAGTATCCACAACACAAGATCTGCTTATTTTGGGACTAGATGGCGCTATGTGATTTATCGTGATATAGTCGCTTTCGCTGTTTGTTTAGATCTCTTAAACTATGTAGTATTATGTTATCTGTGCTTAAATTAAATAACGGATTTCAGTGCAGGTTTTAGCTATAGATAGAGTGATTCAAGACGATGGTTTTTCATTTATTTATATAACTTCAATGCACAAAATACCATATATATGTATATATGGCGGACAGCGCCTTACGGCATTTTGTACCAATCAACCACAGGTTGTATAGAGATAAACTGTAGGCGGTGCAAATATAAATCAATAAGAAAAATAATACTTATTTATTTATTTATTTATTAAAACTTTAATGCACAAATACATAAATAAAGGTACACATGGCGGACTTAACACCTCGAGGCATTTTCTCCCAGTCAACCATTGGGCAAACAGAGATCCATGTTGGCGGTGCATTAACAAATTGAAATTCAAATCTAAAAAAAATAAAATAATAAGAAGATCACTTTAATATGATTAAATATAAATACATATGCGAATATACTTATAAACTATAATACATAATATGAATAAATAATTATACATATATAAATATAACTACTTATGTCATAAATAATATATATTTACTAAAAGAAATACATGCAAACATGCATATACATACACAAATACATACAATATATGTATAAACTTTAAATAAATATGAACTAAATACATACATAAATCTATGTGCAATACCTGTACATCCATGCCTAGCCGGGGCGGGTAGCTGCATATATCAGCTGGCTAAATCAGTGAATATCCTTTCATTATAGGACGCTCTTGTTCCACCAGTGAAGGAAGAAAACGTGGTGATGCTGAGCCAGGATATGTAGCTATAAACGCTTATAATAATAATAATCTCAGGACAATTCACACAGCGCCATCTAGTCCCAAGCTAAGCAAAGCTTGTGTTATGAGTACTAGACAACTGATATAAATACATGGATACATTTTTTTGTAAATAAATACATATTATACTTAGAAAACATCCAGACCGATACAAATAATCATACAAATGAATACAAATGTTTGTGCCGTGCGAGGAATCGAACCCGCGACCATCGATCGCAAAGCGGTGTGCTAGACCGCTAGACCACCGAGGTCGTCAAGCGATATTACATTTTATTAAACACTTTGATCGAATGTCATATCAGATTGAATCACAGTAATGGAACGTTCTCTAAACAATATCATATTATAGAGTTACAAACATAGTTTTTCACTCAGAGCGAACTTTATTTCTTGCACACTAGAGGCGATTTTTCCTTATGTCGTGGATCTTGTATCCTGGTAAGGTATACGATAAAACGGGGGTGGCTATTCTAAATCGCGCTGACGTATCATAGTCAGACCTTTGCTTCACCTGACACTGTAAGAAATATAAGGATACGGTTTAATTATAGATATATGTTGTTTATATGTAGGTACACCATCATTATCATTATAATTATCATTACATAGTATATAACAAAGTCGCTGTCGCTATCTGTCCGTCCCTATGTATGCTTAAATCTTTAAAACTACGCAATGAATTTTGAAGCGGTTTTTTTAAATACATAGAGTGATTCAAGAGGAATGTATAATACATACACCCGTGCGAAGCAGGGGTGGGTAGCTAGTCTAATATATAAAATTTTCGTGTCAGTTACAGGTTTTGTGTTTATACTCCTCCAAAAATGCTTGATCGATTTTGATGAAATCTTATATGTATATTCAGTAGCTCTGAGAATAGGTCTATAACTAATTTTTATACCCCTAAGTGTTAAGGTTGGCTCAGCCCAAAATTTTTTTTTCATATTTTCGACAAAATTGTCTAATTTTATATTTTTATTATGTGGTATTAACACATATATCCATAAATTTTCATCACATAATTTAATACCTCATGAATACCTACAAATATATGTACCGTGCGAGGAATCGAACCCGAGACCATCGGGAGTAAAGTGGTGAGCTACATCGCTAGACCACCGAAGACGCCAGAATATACAGTGTAAACATTATTCTGACAATTATGCTGTAATATTTACCCAAGCAATTAAACGTTGTTCTATTTTTTCCCTTCTTTGTCAGCTCAGTATCTCTTAGCAAACAATCTGTCATGTCTTCCCTTTTGTGGCTGACTGACCATCGCCAGTCCTTTGCTACGTCATAAAGACACACACCAACAACGATATGGCAAAATAACGCAAAAACAGCGTCGGATAAATAAATATAAAAACAATAAAACTGTTGTCTATGGGCAGGAAAATGGCCGCGCCGTGTATGGGGCTATAGGGAGACCATATTTTGGGTAAACTATTATTTTGACTCTTAGGAAATAGTATTGAACCTAATGGGTAAAATTTTCTACTATTCTTTGATTTGTAATAGATGAATTAAAATAGTTACTATGATTCGCTTCAGTACTTGCAGAATATTGTTTATGCAAGTAAATATATCAATATTTAAGTAAGTATGAGAATGTTCTCAAATGATCAAAAATGTACATAAACCTGTACATAGATAAACATTTATGTCTATTATCTAATATGTACCTAAGACTATAAAACTTTTAATTAATTGCATATATATTATAAATTATTAAAGTAAATAATATAAATTTCAATGAGGATCTTACATATTGCGAAAATTAAATAACTTGGATACGTATAGGTAATACTAGATTACCTAAACATATAATAATTAAGTAATCTTCGTTGTTACAATATCTTTTTTCCCAAAAAATGTTTTAATTTGATCATAAGAAAATGTACCTACTGAATATTTTTTATGGATAATAATGGAATGGTACATTGAAATGGTGAAAGTGTATGAAGTTGGTCAGTGTATCAGTAATTAACAACGACGGTTTCCAAGTAAAACCGCTCGGAGGTCCATCCAACATAATACTTTATTATTAACTAGCTGTTGCCCGCGACTTCGTTTGCGTGCCCTTCGTTTTTCGTAAAATATCTTCGCCTATGTCCTTCCTCACGGTTCAGTGGTTTTGATGTGTTTTCCTAACATTTCCCTTCACTGCTTTGCTCCTATTGATCGTAGCGTGATGAAAAGTATACTATAACCTGCCCAGGAGTATGAAGAATAATTGTACCAAGTTTCGCTAAAACAGACAGACAGACAAAAATTTTACTGATTGCATTTTTAGCATCAGTATCGATCACTAATCACCCCCTGATAGTTATTTTGGAAATATATTTCATGTACAGAATTGACCTCTCTACAGATTTATTATAAGTATAGATATAGCTAATATATAGCTCATTCCAAATCTCCTTCGGGGGGAAGGCATATTGGACTTTAAGTATTATTTGAAAATCGTTAATAGTAATAATATAATGGTAGAAATAACTGTCCTGTTGCTATCCGAAAATTATGGCATTCATACGTGGAGGCATCCACCGGAGGTGTGGGTGGAGGCACGCGGGGGAGGGGGGGACGTGATGTTCTGTTTTCAAATTCAATTGGGCGCTGTCCCGGGGCGATCTTTCTCCTCGCAATTCAGAATTGAATATCAATCGAACGATTGTCCGAACGGTGTCATATGGATATGACCTCGAAATTTTATTATATTAAAAATTATACGTAATTACCTACATATAACTGCTTGCTATTTACGAATTATTTTAGTGGCTATACATGTAGTTGACACAATGTATTTTGTATTAACATAAATGTACGTGGTTTTTTAATCCAAAGAGAATACGTTTTTATTATTCAATTTGAAATAATACATTAAAAACAAATAATGTAGTAAGTAAACTAACCAACTTATTGTCAGCT